TTATGAGAAGAGAGGCCAATTCTCATGTGCATAATAACCTAACTGAAACTATATCTGTAATATGTTGAATAAATGTTTTAATCAAGAACCTCTACTAAAAGCTTAATCAAAAGATATAAATGAATAAAAGACAATAATTAATAACCTGGTTATTCAAATGGCATCATCCAAACAGCTCCTCAAAGTAACTTTCACTTTCACAAGCACGCTCTGCAAAAGCCTGCGCTTCCTGTCTACTTTGGCACAGAGTGTACTCAGAGTTAGGGCCTTCTTTTATCAGAATCAGCACATACACATTTAAGATTTATAACAAGCATTCAAAAGCATTTAAGATTATTGATTTACTCAACAGTTTAACGTGGTTATAACTGCACCTGTAATAAAGGCTAATTGGGTACCAATATGTTTAAACATCTGAATACAATATCAATACTGTAAACTGTATGATTAATGCAATGGTAATGATGATGATTATGAACCATAGCAGTAAAATAATTTCCCTGATCTCCACACTTCCCTTTGGCTTCACCTGCACAAGTGCCAAGGTAGGTCTACCCTGCAGAATTGGTCTTTCCTTCGTCTGGAGCAGCGCTGGGCTCTTCAAATCACGGACAAACCGTATCCCACATTCTTGATTTTTAGTTCACAAACACTTGTTGTAATGACTAACTACTCCTGACATTTTGGAGATGTTTGCTCTTTATACAGTAACGTTACAGTGGGATACAAATAATATCAGGCTCATCCTGCCACGATTTGTTCCCCCGGTTCAAATCACGGACAAACCGTATCCCACAGCTGTTTATGTTTTTAAACCCATTTTGCACAGAGAGACATTTTTTGAAAAATGTATTGATAGCAATGTTGAACATTATTACACAGGAAATAAACAACTACATGTAAAATAATTACACCGTGACACCCCTGCCTTTCTAAATGGAGGGACAGAAACTGTGTGTTTATATGTAAGCGTGTAAAACCTGAAGATAGAGACAAAATACTGTTAATCTGCCTATCTGCCATTCTGCAATTCCTCTCACGTAAACAATAACGTGTTGCACAGCGTGACGTGAAAAAAGGCACATTTTCATGTAAAACAAAGGGGGGCCCAGCAAAAATTTTGGGAACCACTGGCTTAGTGGATGTGTACAGTGCTATGTTCAAAATAAATAAAGACACTGTTAGAAAAAAAAAGTCTGTCTTTCCTCCTAGGCTTAAGGAGTGTGACATTTGGGGTCAGTCTGAGGTGCTGAGAGTTCTTCAGCGCTACAGGCCCCAGTCAGAGGACGAGCTCTTTGATATCCTGTCCCTGCTGGACTCGTTCCTTGTAAGCCCCCACCCCCCTGTCATGGCTGCCACCCTTAGCCTCTTCCTGAGCATCTCCTCCAACCTGCCCGCCATCAGTCTGGCGGCCCTGGAACGAGTCAGTGGACCCCTGCTTGCAGCCTGTGGGAGTGGTTCCAGAGAGATGAGGTTTGCTGCCGTCTGCCACATACAGGTCAGTGCAACTAATTTAAACATGTGAGTGGACTCAAAGGAGCTTGCAAAGAAAAGCGTCTGGACTTCTTTAAGTTGCTTGAAGACGTTTCACCTCTCATCCGAGAAGCTTCTTTAGTTCTAAGGTCAAACTGAAGAAGCTTCTCGGATGAGAGGTGAAACGTTCTAGGTGAATGTGTAAACCTGTACACGTGGTGTGAAAATTCCTCTATTAATGTCTATCAAGAGAATGGACCAAAGACAAAAAATGTTACTTTTTAAATTATTATCTTTATTATGATTATTATTTCTACTCCTCACATAGTATATATATATATATATATATGTGCGTGTGTGTGTGTGTGTGTGTGTGTGTATATATGTATGTGTATGTATGTATATATGTATGTGTATGTATGTATATATGTATGTGTATGTATGTATATATGTATGTGTATGTGTATATATGTATATATATGTATGTATATGTGTGTGTGTGTGTGTGTGTGTGTATGTATATATGTATATATATGTATGTATATGTGT